AAAATACCGGGGAAAACTCAACCTCCATTTCCCACAGGGTCTTTCTCAGTATCACTGATGAGCCTGCTATCTACAAAACTTTCTGTCTTTTCAGCAATGGGAGTGAACATTTCCACTGGAATATTTGTGGGGGGAACTGAGCAAGGGGGAGATGCTTTCACTGTGAATCGCTACCTAAGAAACTACCCAGAACTTTGGCCAACAGAACTTCTCCAACACGCCATTAATCGTTCTGGCCTCAGTATGATTAGCAGGGACCAAATTCCAGCCAGGGGATGCCAATCCCTCAAAACCAGGGCATCCCTTTGGGCTGGTGGGCTTTTATTCCTGCGGTGCTCTGAGAAGCATGTTGAGGAACAGTTGCTGGGACGTTCCACTTCCTACCACGAGGACAGGCAGCAGAACAGGAGCTGTTGGCCTGGAGTCAGGGGTCAGCACTGGCACAGTGAGGAAGGGATGCAGCCAATGGAGGTGTCCCAGCCTCTGCAAAAGCTGACAGTGACCTCTCCTTGCTCTCTCCTCCCACTGCAGTACTATCTCTCTGATGCCGATTTCTACGATATCTTTGGGAAGTCCAAGGACGAGTTCTACCAGATGCCCAAATGGAAGCAGCAGAATGAGAAGAAGCAATGTGGACTCTTCTGAGACCGCAGGGGCCATCCGGCATCCAGTGACTCTGGGACCAACCCTCGCTCTCTTAGGAGCTGCAGGGAAGAAGTACAGACATTTGCTCAATGAACCCAACCCAACATCTCAATCAGGCCAAGCTCCAATGCAGTTCTTCCAGCAGCCACTGTTAGGGGGGATGGCTCCTTTCTCCCTGCAAACCCTGAACCTAAGGAGGCAAAACAGTTTGCAAGAATGACTTTGCAGGATGTTTTTGCCTCTTTTTGACACAAAAGTGCTGATAGCCATGAAGACAAGCGTTTGTCACACAACCATATTGTAGCCTCTTCTTTCCTCTCCCTTTTGCAAATTGCCACATGCACAAAGTCATGATCTTCCTTCATTTGTAGAAGTTTGAGATTAGGCAAAACAAGGGCCACTTGCAGCTGCTATGTAAATCCTGGGTGGGGAGAGAAGGGGGAAACCCTGGGAGGACAGGGCCGGAGTCTTGAGGTCAGGAAAAAGGTAATGGAGTAGCCAGATCTGTGATGGGGTAGCCCATGGAGTGACATCAACCAGCTCTGACCCTTCTCACCTTGCAGAAAAACTACTTGCCAAAGAACAGTAAGAATCAGTTGTAGACTAACATGCATAGCCCAGTGCAGGTAAAACAAATGAGAACCTGGCTTGGAAAAAACCGACTTATTAAGAGCATACTTATTAGCTAATACATTTCAAGAGGATGATGAGACTAAGGGCTAGACACAGCTGTTGATTTTGACGGCCAGACAAGATGCAGACTATTCTTTTTTCCCTTCAGACAGCATCTCCAATCTCACCTGGCCTCCCTGAGCACGACCGGGTGCAGGTGATCATGAGTCCACCTGCCTGCAGACCAGAGGCTTGAGGAAGCCAGGAGGGGTTTGGGTATGACCTGAGGCATAGCATGTCCCACTAAAGGTTTTATCAGGGCTCCATCCCTGTGATGTCCATGGGGCCAAGAGTGCCCATTCCATACTGCGAGCTCAGTCTGATTGGGGAGAGCAGGGGGAAATGTGAGTGATCAGCGATTAAAGGATACAGCTGTAAACGGAAGGAAAGACATATGTTTATAAACCTAGAAGATGTGGTTTTGTAGCTTTACCCCGTTTCCAACCTGATCAGTGATTCCAAATAAACAGCCAGCAGCATCACTGCAAGTGTCCTTGATCAGCGTGTGGGGTAGAACAGCAGTAGTGACAAGCTCTGCAGGGCCACAGACCCTTCAAACACCTGGTCCTTAATGGGATTTGGGATTTCTTTTAAAAGAAAAGAACAAACTGAGGAGGTGAGGCCCCCTCTGTTCCCAAACACCACATAGCCAGGACCATTTGTCTCCCCATGCCCATGTACCCTGCTCCTGAAGCCCCCTTGTTGCCCAGGACCAGGGGCACTTGGCCGTTCAGCAGCTGGCCTGACTGCCCACGCCTGCTGCCGGGATGTGGCGATGGAGCCGAGGAGCTGCAGGCAGGTGTTGGTTGAGGAGTGAAGAGCTCTCGCGCAACACCCAGCACCATGCGGCAGTGAAGTGTCACCATCTGGCTAGACTGGAGGCAGGGACCTCCAGGTGATGGGGTCTTCTGGACAGATCTTTGTGTTTAAGAATTGGTAGTTACTTCAAATAAGCCACAACCCCATCATTACCTCCACACTCCAGCCACCACTTTGTCCCATTTCTGCTTGAGGGTCCAGCCCAAAACCCATTGAATGCCACCCCCCCAATAAGGTAGGAGTCAAGCAGAGATGCAAATCAGCCCAATTACCTGCATGACTGCTCCTGTTGTGTTCACACTAGATACAATCAGTGCATATTATCCCTGTTTCAGCCTCTATTGCCACTGCTGGAAGCGACAATATTTGCATCGCCCTGCTGCGGCATGCTCCTGCCAGCTCCCAAATTAACAAATTGCATGTGCTACTCAACAAAATGCAGTAATTCCACCCATCAGCCATGAATGTAGGTCTAACGAGGATCATGCAATCAAATGGCGAGAGGTGGAAATACAGTCGGATTAGGGAGATTAGGATGGTTTTCTACAAGTTTTCATTCCTGC